ATCCCCTCGGTAAGGTCGGCCCGGCCCTGAAGCGCCTTGATCGCTGCCTGTCGGATGTCCCGGTCATCATGCTCGAGCCGTGCTGCGATGCCCTGCAGGATTGTGTCTGGTAAACCCTTATGCTGATATCTTAGGACACCTAAGATGGCAATACATAGGCGTTTAGAGACACAGATCCAGGGAGATGCGACGTTTATAATACTGGATGGTACTGCTGTTTGTGTGGATAGCGACTCCAGAAGGATCGGTCTTGCATCTTCAGATGCTTGCTTTAATGCATTGACCAGAACCTGCTCTGGACACTCCATTTCGCGGGCTAACCGGGAATTTTTTGTGAAGTCGCACTCGAACAGCAGCCACTGTTCCAGTTGGTTTTCTAGCTTCGCTCGAAGTTTCGTGAATGCCGACTCCTTCCGCTCGACCTCGCTCAGGCAATGCATGACCAGTCGCTGATGTGTAGGGCCCAGGAGGTCGCGTGGCTCCTCCTCAATCGTCTGGAAGACGTCGAGTGCCTTCCCATCAGCGTCAAGTAAGCCGGCGACAAAGCGCCAGAAGATATCGTAGCGAGGATCGTATTTGTGCTCCTGAAGGAAAGTGGCGGGTTCGATATCGCTATACTCTCCATCGCTGAGTTGCAGACAGTTGAGCGATTGTTTAGCGTTCCATTGTTGTACAAAATACCGTGCTGCAAAATACTCTTGGAAGGTGAGGTGGAGGAAGTGGTAGTTCCGATCGCGGTCATGTGAGGAAGGGTCCGATGTTCGTAGAAAAGAAAGGTGTCCGAGGATTCCATCAAAAAACAGGTTCGTCCCAGCAGAGTTAGGCTGTTTGCAAATAGTGTCGCGAAGCCAAGGCTCAAAGTCTATGAGGTCGTTATACATGCCCGTGAAGGCGAGAATCTCAAGGATTCGGACCTCATCCTTGACGGAGTTGTTGATTTCGGGCCGGCGGGCAACGCGTACTTGAGCCGGAGTCCGCTTCTCCAGCCTCACGATATCCTTTCTCCACAAATTTTCCTCAATGGCTCTGTAGATGGCAGTCATGGTTTGCGGCACAGCTTTATCATCAAAACTGTCCCAGGTATAACAGAGCGCATCCAGCAGAACCGGGATCCGCACAAGTCCCAAGACCAGCTGGTGCCTTTGGAGGTATGACTGAATCTTGCCTGGCTTTTCCGAATCAGTTTCGCCCGTTTTTGGATTGGTGAAGGCCATTTTCACATAGGCCGTCACTTGATCGGGATAGAATCCGATAGTCTCTAACTCCAGTTGGGGAGGATCCAGGCCAGGAGGAAGAATCGCGTGTGGCCGAGACGTGATGATGACATTGGGCTGATTCAAGAGCTTCTTAAGGAAGCGGAGCATATCGCCGTCTAAGTCCTGAGACACTTCATCGAGGCCGTCGAGCAGAAACAAAGTTCTGGCGCTTTTGGTGTCTTCCAGCGTTTGGCATAATGCATCGGCAAGAACTTGGTCTGGGGAGTGGGAGAAATATTCGTGTCGAAACAGCTGTGGCATATCATATCCAGCGATACGGCGTCGCTCGTCCCGCTTCAAATTCCGCAGGGGCACCCAGAGCACACGATCAAACAAGTCCCGCCACTCCTGCCACTTTTCGCCATGCGCGAACTCATAGACAATCTTCTTGCATAGAGTGGTCTTGCCCACGCCTGCTCGTCCACGAATCAGGATCCGCCGTGGTTGTCGCTCCTCGCCGTCGCGTGCCTTGCGGGGCTTGAATAGAGTCGGCAGCGTAACCTCGATAGTCTTATCCGGTGTCTCAACCTTTAGTCGGGCGAGGAGCGAAAATGGAGAATCCTTTTGCGCTGTGCCTTCTTCGTCTGGGCGGCTGGTCTTGTCGCCGGGTTGCTCTACAATGGCAAGGTTAATGTAACACCGATCCATCGGAAGCAGGTCGCCCGAGAGTCGTTCGATGTTGAGCTCTGCCAGGGAATAGCAGTTATTCCGGATCCAGAGGTCTGCTCTCTCAATAGGCCGGCCGTTACGAATGTCGCAAAGAAGAATGTCAATCACCCCAGTAACAGAAACGTATTCCGGATCGTTAGGACCATAAAACTTGTTCATGGTTACGTGGGGCCGATTAAGGGGTAATGGATGTGAGACAATGTCCAGGGTCGCAGAAGCACTATCAACCAGCTGGGGAGTGTTAGCTTCCACTAATAACAACGTTAAAGCACATGGAAGGCAGTTCGTACCGGTTGCTCTTGAGACAAAGAGGCGGGGAGCCAGGGAGCTACTTTACGTGGGAAACTTGACTTGCCAGTCTCGTAAAAGATAAACACATGTTCTGCAAGTTCGCTTTTTTGGCAGAGAGCAGTGAAGCTGCGGACAAGCTCTCCAAGGTCGAAAGTAGATTTCACGAGCTCAAGCAGGTTAGAGACGTTCTTGTCCCGGATCGAAGCCCAGAGCCTCAGACCGGGCTCAGCCCACGTAGCAACGTGTTGGAACGATGTACCCCGGAAGGGCGTGGCAAGGAAGACGATGCCACGTGTCGCTTGCTTCACGGATTCATACTCGCGGCTAGCCATCACAAGCGCCTTTGCCAGGATGATGCCACCGAGGCATGACGCGACGAAGACAATTGGCCGGTCGCGTCCGGGTTGGTCGTTTGTCGCTGGAGGCCGGCCTTTAATTCCAGCAAGCAGCAGCCGAGCGAACTCGTCGATCATCTTTTGGACGAAACCTGGCTGCTCGAAGAGGTCAGCAGGCCAGTCGCAGGTGAAAATGCGTGTGGTCGGAAACCGCTTGGGCAGCATGTGCGAATCTTCCAGCCAGTTGACGCGGGCCCCTTTCGGCTCCCATATCCAAGTGTCAGGCGACTGCGTGTCGAGGCCATGGATGGCGATAATGTCGACGTCAGTTGCGATCTTGTGCTCCGGAGAAGGGTAGACTTGGCGGAGATTGACACCCTTGCTTTTTAGGTGGAATTGTGTCGGATCGTCGGGTTCTGTCTGACCTTTCCGGCGTTGGCCGTGTTCAGGGTGAGGACTAGCTTCGCGAAGAGGAACACCTCCCTCTCGAGTAAGACCTTCAGGCTCTGGGGCGTCTTCGAGGATGCCCGTCGTACTTTTGTCGGGGTTGGCTTGACGGAGGTGGACGCCTTTTTGCGTGGATCGTTTGGGACGTGAAGTAGGCCCCGCTGGAGGCAACAGCGCGGGGTCTGGACGAGTCGGCGCGGGGTAGAGCCAGAGCCAGACGGCAACCGCACCGACAAGGAGACAAAGGGCGGTTGTCCATCCGGCCGAAGAGACTCCCTGGCTGAAGCTGACGGCAATCATGGCTCGACGCATAGGGGCTTGTATGGCTGAGACCGAAATTCGTACAAGTTGTCAGGTGGTGGATGCCACGCTTCGGCGAACAGCGCAAGCGCCCTCCCAGTAGAAGCTACTTCATGCCCTTCGTGTCCGATAGTGGCAGGTAGAGATTGGACATTGTCGCTTCTCGTGGACGACGGCAAAACGGAGTGTGAGGAGAAGTGGGCGATCCAGCCTCAGCTACCAAGCCCAAAACGCCACAGAGCGTCCACATCCAATCATTTCAATCCATGGGGCCAAGCAGCAAACCCAGAGGCGACCAATGATGCCTCTCGCAATGAGACACGGCGTGCCTCGGGCAAGTGTTCATGTCGCCCAACCAAACCGCGACAGTCAAGGGTTTGCAATTGCTGGTCAAGTCGTTCTTGCCGGCCCGATTCGTGTCTATCATGAGCACTTCATCCCAAACCGCAGCTGGTAACCATTCCCCCAAGCATCCTCATAGTGTTGGGCAAGTCTCCGTAGTTGATACTGTCAACAGGGATAGCCGGAACTTTATAACCGGAGCTCGACGTCGTACTGCGGGTTGACTCCAAAGTAATGTGTCTTCGGCTCGTATTGGAGCCACTTCCCGCCCTGGGTAGCGATGCGACAACCCAACCAGAGCGCCCGCTCCTTCCTCTCCACCATCATGGAAGGAACCTCGAAGAACTTTTCGTCGTCGTCAATCTTGGCGTCTGATTCAAACCACCCGTTCGGGAAATACTTTTCTACCTAGGGAAAGCCTCGCAGGGCATAATCATCCGGCAAGGGTCGGATGGCGGATTCATCCTTGGGGAACTGCTCGGCCTCGATCCGAGCGTACGACTGGCACGACCCAATCAGCGTATTTAGCATGAGAGCTGTAAGCTTCCAGGGAAAGTCCCGTGGTCGGGTCTGCTGCAATGTCCCCTGAGGGAAGGAACTACCCAAAGCACAGATATCGGGAGGCGATTGGGTTGCATGTCTTGGCCCTCGGCATCCAATCTGGGAATTCTGGATGTCGATTGAAAAGTCAACTTTGATAGGCTGGGTTGTCGACCCCGTTTATCCTGTTGAGCGGTAGAATCCACGACAATCTTTTAGCCAAGGCCACACAACGCACAACATCGGAAAGCCAAGAAATAGCCCAGAACAGAGGCCGTTGGGACCTGCCGTTGCAGATCTAGCGACTTGCGTGATACATGGTCAATGGACCATGCAGCTGCCGGCTCTTTACTGGAGAGGGCAGTTGCTCGGCCAAAGAGTGCAACAACTTCCGCAAGTGGACGCGTGCCCAGACGTGATGGCACTCCCAGATGGCGCCCTGCGTCTTTCAGCAGCCATGGAAAAACACTTGCAGGTTTGATGCGGAGATGGCTGTCCGACGGCCTGGAGAATCAAATCAAGGGATTTAACGGCCCCCTCTGCCCGCGCCCTATCGCCGTCGCTCCCCCAACGACGTTAGGTCAAAGTTGAGCTGCTTCATATTACGTCGTCACGCTTAATGTTCACGGGCTGACTTCAAAACAAGATCCGACCTTGACTCACTTGCTGATTCAGGATGAGATTCACCACCGCCACGCTGCTCTCGTTGGCGCTGCCATCGCTGGTCACTGCTACCGGCGGCCATGGCGACCACGGCCACGGCAAGCCGCTGGTAGATTCAACGAAACTCCAATCTCTGGTGAAGACGAGGGATCTGCTTGATGGCTCCCATAGACTCCAGCACATGGCCGACGCGAATGGCGGCACCCGTGCCTTTGGAAGCGCCGGCCACAACGCTACGGTTGACTATGTCTACAAGACACTCAAATGTCTCGATTACTACAACGTGGTCAAACAACCCTTTACCGAAATCTACTCGGCGGGCTCAGGCAACCTCAAGGTCGGCAACCAGTCGATTGCCACCCAGATCATGACTTACACCCCAGGCGGTGAGGCCACAGCGCCGATCTTGGCCGTCGCCAACCTGGGCTGCGCGGTTGCCGACTTCCCGGCCGATGTGGTTGGCAAAATAGCTCTCATCTCGCGTGGCACCTGCAGCTTTGCCCAGAAGTCACTGAGCGCCAAAGCTGCCGGTGCCGTTGGCGCCATCATCTACAACAACGTTGCCGGCGCGCTTTCCGGCACACTGGGCACCCCGTTCCTAGACTATGCGCCCGTCGTCGGCATCAGCCAGGAAGATGGCCAGTCCATCATTGCTCTTCTGTCTCAGGGCGCCGTCACGGCCACGCTCAAAATCGATGCCACCGTCGAGGAGCGCGTGAATTTCAATGTCATTGCTGAGACGAAGGGCGGAGACCACAACAATGTCCTGATTGTCGGCGGTCACTCGGACTCTGTCCCTGCTGGACCAGGCGTTAAGTGAGTTTCTTCCCTCAATTTTAACCAGTCTCATTGCTAACGAGGAATTCCCCAGCGACGATGGATCCGGAATCATCGGCATCTTGACAGTCGCCAAGGCTCTCACCAAATTCCGCGTAAACAACGCCGTCCGCTTTGCCTTTTGTGGCGCTGAATAATTTGGCCTTCTCGGCTCGTACCACTACATGAAATCTATCAACAGCAGCGAAGCCGAGATGGCCAAGATCCGCGCCTACCTCAACTTTGACATGATCGCCAGCCCCAACCACATCTATGGAATCTACGACGGCGACGGAAACGCATTCAACCTGACGGGCCCCTCCGGTTCGAACATCATAGAAAAAGATTTTGAAGACTTCTTCAAGAGCAAGAACACCCCCTCGGTTCCGACCGCCTTCAGCGGCCGGTCCGATTACGCCGCCTTCATCGAGAATGGCATCCCGTCTGGTGGCCTGTTCACGGGCGCCGAGGCACTCAAGACGGAGAAGGAAGCGGCGCTATTCGGAGGGCAAGCGGGCGTCGCTTATGATGTCAACTACCACAAGGCCGGCACACCATTGATAACCTCAACATGGAGGCCTTTTTGCTCAACACCAAGGCCATCGCCAACTCGGTCGCCAAGTACGCCGCTAGCTTTGCCTCGCTGCCGGCTGTCAATGTGAATGAGCGCCGCTGGGAGGCTGATCGCGCCAAGTTGCTCAAGCGGAATGTTGACACGCATGGTCATGCTCATGTCCATTCTGGTCCTTGTGGTGGTGGGGATTTGATCTAGGAGGAATGGGGTATAAGTGGCTGTGACAATGTATATGAATCTTGTTAATTATCGTCTATCTTCTGAGCTCTGTATATACGTACCTTGATATCATCTCCTATCATACCTACTGCTCTCCATACATGTATATCGAGCTTGTGTGCTATATAAGCACGGTTACCTCTTGATCAACCCTGTGATCTCTGCACCTCCAACTCAGTGATATCTCGAATAATCCTCGCCTCCTCCCGTTCCAGCATGATCAGTCGCCTAACCAAGTTAGCTTCAATTCTGACGCGGGAGAGCTCTCCGCGCAAGTCCTCGAGCCTCTGATCAACGGCAAGGGTGACCTCGTGTCGTAGCTGCTGTAGTCGGTGACTCGCTGGGCTTGAAGACGCCGATGTGCCTAAATGGTCGGCTTGATGTTGTGGTTGAGGGACCTGAGGGGGTTCTCCAGCCATATCCTTAGACGTTGGCAATTGATGGTCTAATGGTCGCGCACCCGCATCCGTCACAACTGGCACCGGTTCCTCGGAAACTGCAATAGCGGATCCGACTGCGACGACGCTGGGGGTTGTTCCTGCAGCAAGTTTGGTCGTCTCTGTCACCTGGGCTATCATAATGACGCTAGGCTTTGCCGCATCGAGGTCAGAGGGCGGGCTGGCCTCGACTTGTGCTCCATTCTGTTCGACCCGGACTCCCGCCTCTTGCCCTGTGCCATCCCTCCATTCCCGAATCGTTACGAGCTTTTTGAACCCCTCAATGTCTTCATCCTCGAGTCGAGCAGGGTCTTTGACAATGCTGCGCCCACTGGAGCCTGCCTTCGGGTCGAACAAGACGTCCTCTCCTCTTCGTTTAGTTCCAAACATGTTCTTCGAGATCTCTTCCGCCTCTGCCTTCCGGTTGACCCGCCCGGAAATAGTTAATTTCAAGCTAAACTGCTGTCCGTATTGGCTATTCAACTTCTTCTCACGCTTCAGCAAAATGGCCCCTTGAAACATCGAAGGGATCCCACTGTCCGTTGATTCATTCTCGCTGCGTGAGTTAGCTAGCCGTCTTTACCCATAAAGCACAGACAGAGCTCACTATAGACCCCAGAAGACCTCCCTAGAACCCCTAGCAACGCCGAAGATAGTCCCGTGATCCTTGATCTTTCGACTCGTCTTGTGCTCCAACTGATACCCAAGCGTGCCCTTGGCTAACCCGACCGTAGCCTCTAGGCTTGGGCTAAACACATGGCTGATCTCGACCTCTTGCTCCGAAGGGAACAGGGCATACTCTCCTACCGGAGACATTCTGAGAACCTCTGGCGCTACAGTATCTTCCGACCCGGGCATGAAGTTCAGGGTGACCTCAACCTGTTTGAAGCGTTTTGTTTGTCCCTTGGGCTGAAATACGAAGAGCATCACAAGCAGGGTCGCCGGATCACCATTAGGCTCGAGGGTTCCATGACATACATGGGCAATCCGACATTGCAAAATGTGGGATTTGGAGCCAATGTCGGCGTCGAGGATGAGGGCGTTGTTGAGTTCACTCAGTCCGAGTCTCCCGGTATCAGCGCCAATGATCTCAAACTTCGGGACAGCGCCTAGTTCGCTTTCATCGGGTTCCTCTAACAACTGGACGTCGAAGTCGTTAAAAGCGTCGGTATCGGCCGCCGTGGTCGCCATGGCTGTTATTCTCTCTGTCGACGATACGAACAGCGTGGATGGTGTTCTGTGCCGTACTTCGTACCCGATCACGGGATGAAAAGAATTAGTTTGACGCCTTCCCTAAGATACGAGGAGCTGTTCAAAGCTTTCGAAGGCCTCTAGCTTCTGCTAAGAGGGCGCTCAAACTGATTCCTTTCCCCATCCTGCTGATCTCAGGACAACTGACCATGCGAGATTCCGCGTCGGGAGGGATCCAGGCTGTTCTAGTCGATTTTCACGAGCGCCTGCATGAGCCCCGCCGCGAGTTGACAGCGAAAGAGGCAGTCGAATCATCATTGCAGATTTGACAGCGGGATAGTAACGGCTCATGCGGCTTACGGAAATCTTCTTCAAATTCATTGGTCCTGTGGCCGGCGATAGGCATACAGCTTGCAGAATATTGTCTGCACCTGTTACACGACTGGAATGCGGAGCCAATCAGCTTCTCATCTCCTCTTCCCCTCGGGCTTCGGCATGGTGGCAAGGAAGTGCTTGTCCACCACATCCTCCCTCAGCCGCTGTCTTTTTTTCTCGGGGGTGTCTGTTTTGGACACGAAAGGCTGTCCGAACACCTTGCGCACTGGCAGCCAAAGCTCACTGGTGACTTGGAGGCTTTCAAAAGCAGCCTTCATGCCGTTGTATGACTTGAGCCAAGCCCACTGCTCATTTGTGATGTCACAAATCTGAGAGCAGTGCAAAATCATGGCCGCCAGGCCTGAGGCGAGAGCGCACGCCAGTGAACTTCCGCCAAATTCTTTCCACTGCTCAAATGACTTGCTTCCCTTTGGATTCCCTTGGCGACTCTCCGCCTCAATGTCTAATCGGACGCCAGGGAGAAAGAAATCGCATGTCTCGTCGTTTCGAGAGATCTTCATCCAGCGCTGGCCATTCTCGGCAGCGCCTATGCAGAACAGGCTCGTAACTCCCGGGAGACATTTAGGGAATGTCTTAGGCTCCGCCTCCTCGCTGCCTTTATCAGGGTTCGCGCAAAACAAAAGTATGTTTTTCTTGACTGCCTTTTCAATCGCGTCTTTCAGGGGTTTGTACCGCTTGTCGGACGATCGGTCAGCCTCATGCATATCGATCGCCCAGCTCATATTTATGATATCTGCCCCTTCTTTCACCGCCCAGTCTATTGCCTATCGCCTCTTAGCGTTGGGGGTACGTGTAGATTAGCGAGGACCACACTCACCTTCGCGGCGGATTCGATCGAGAAAGTTACCGGAGTTCGGGGAGCCATCACAGAGTCGAGTTTGGCCACTAGCAACCTCACCTCTCGGCAAACCCGACGAATGTACCAAGCCATGACGGTACCGTGGCCGTGTTGCGAAGTGTAGTACGTGGGTCGAAACCTACGACCAGGCTTGCCCCATTGAAATTCTCGCGCCTTCGCCCAACTCTCACCATTCTGTATGTTTACGTTCAACCCATCATAGCTGGACTGAACGCCATCGTCAATCAATGCCACAGTGACAGTGCGAGACTGTAGAAAGAATCAGCCATTCGGGGTAAAAAGCTCAATCGCTGTCGAATCAAACTCACCGATGATCCAGCTTTGGGGGGACATGTTTGGATGAACTTAGAAAATTCATCCATGCAAAGAAGCCAATCTTCTCTGGAATAGGCATTTAGCTGCAATACCCTTCCGCCAAGATGGAGTGGTGGGTGTCTTTGACTTACTCTTCCCTACCTCTGCCGTTCTTAACTCCAGTGTTGATGCCCCCCTTTTTGCCTCCGGCCGCATCATCAGGGGCTGCCGTTACCGGAGCGCATTCAACAAGTAGTTCTCTCCCATGGCAGAGCTTGTAGTTTTCCTTCAGCCTTTCTTCGAACTTGCTGACGTATCGTTCCATCGTCTCGAGCGACTCTCGCCCCTGCCATTTGCGTATGGTCAGCAGAGGAACATAAGGGCAACAATATCTTTCTGCATTTCTTTTCTTATACTTACCTGGTGGGTCTCCAAGTAAACTTCCTCGAGCTGGTGCGCATGAATATCAGTACTTGCGTCCAGAGCAAACCAACACGTAGCAAGTGGTTGTTGATGGGAAACGCTTACCGCTTTCAAACTAGGCAGTCCCTCCCTGTCCGACCAGCTGCGAAGGACGGCATTCAAACCGCTGCAATAGAGATTGACCACTCTTACATGGTCTCCTGCAGCCCGGGAGATGACGTCGCTGTCAATATCCATGCGTCTCCAATCCCAGGCCTCGATATTGAACGGTTTCAAGCACTTCACAATGGCATCGTCGCAGTGCGAGGGCCTGGCAGCGTCTTCGAAGTCATCAACCACAACCTCGATGATCTTTCTGACCTTCGTCGTGTTGGAGGCGGTAAGCCAGTTGAAGATCATGTATAGGTCTGTCTTGCCCTTGCATTTTAACTTGGCCATCTCCTCGAATGCCGGATCTGACGAGGGCCAATCGATATCGACCTTTGGAATGTACAGGTATCGGAGTGTTGTATCGTGTCGGTAGTGCTTGCTAAGCTCCTCGAGTGACTTGCGGGAGATGACCTCGTCGGGGAAACTGAGGGTGGGTTCGTATCCTAGAGATTGGCAGACGGTCAGCAAGAGGAGGAAAGCGCGCACACTGTCAATTGATGCTCACTGTCGTTGTCCGGGTACATAATATCCTTGGCTTCCGAGTCGTCTGTGTAGACCTTGAGACACTGTAGCTTCAAGTAGTCCCGGAGAGATTCCAATTCCTGTTCGAGATCCGCTCCCAACGCTTTGGTGCTCTGATCACGCCCCTTCTTGTTGAGAGACCGCTTGCTCAACTGCTCGGTGAAGAGCTGCAGCGGAGTCAACTTCTGGGTCGCACCTGCCCCGTCTGGAACAGTGCGCCCGACACCCAGCAACCTAGGCTCGAGTTTGGCCAAAGTCTTGGCCCACGAGATTTTTGCGTCTGACCAGGTGTGATTGCCACCAACCGACAGAGCCATATGAAGCGGCGTGTCACCGTTCGCGCCCGGTATTTGAAGACAGGGCGTCTGCTCTCTTCTCCCTCGTTTGTTTTTCACAGAGGCGAACATCTTCTTGAGACCATCCACGGTTCGCTCGCCGATGTAGACGTCCTTCATGATGGCGAGATGGAGCGCGTTGTACTCGTCGTCGTCGTCGTCGTCGTCATCGAATCTGTATTTGCCCATTATCGTCAAGGATTTCCTCGCTTTCTCAACAATGGTCTCGTCGAATGGTTTTGGGCCAGTATTCTCGCAGAAGTAACGCAACATTCTCTCCTTTGCTGAGATGTCGATGCCTTCCAAAATGATAGCTGAAAATAACGGTGTTCTTTTCTCCTTGTCGAGGGCGACCAGAAGCTCCGGCTGCAGACGTACCAGAAACTCCACAAATGCGGTGAGATGGCCAAAAGGTTGCTTGCTCGCTGGATCGTCGACCTTGGTTTTCGGAGTGTTGGCCTTGGTCAGGCTTGTTGGACCATCAGCCTCGATCCTCGGAACGTCAACCTCTCCGTCTCGGTCATCGCCCTCGTCATCAGAGCGACATATGGGCGACTCTGGGTCAAATACACGATGAAGAATCTTCTGGTTCTCACCCCCCTTTGCGAGCAAGAACTGAAGGGGTGAGTTACACTGGTCCCTTTCCTTGCCTTTCAAGTCGCCCTGGAACTTCAAGAATTGATCAGTCTTTGCCTGTTCTGCCGCTTCTTTGACAAGGGTATCCACGATACTCTCGTCGCTCTTTCTCTTAGGGTCTTTGGTGTTGAAGATCGCGATCAAGTGGTCGTGGAAGTCGCTGATGAATCTCTTCCCTGACTTCATCGCAGGCTCAGTGTCATTGCCTAACTCCCGTAGGATGTCTTTTTTTTGGTCTTGGCTTAGTGCACCATCTCCAGTTCGAAGGACTTTTGTGATGTCCTCTCCTCCAAGCGACCTGATTGTTCTCCTCCTGCTGATGTTGCTCATGGCTGCAGGGTTTGTGTTTCGATCCAACAAATGGTTACCGTCAATGAGAGTGCCTCAGTGACACTGTGACAGAATAAGGGAAGGCTTGGGATATATGCGAGAATGGGGTTTCTGTCTGCCACCCTCCATGAGGATCGACTCTGTTTCGCCGCCCAATCATCTTTCATTGTCTCTATATCCCTATGGGAACTTTCATATATCCGGATGGTTGTACCCATGCAGGCTCAGCTCAACGCAGTCAGCAGGTTATCTTGTCAGGTAGTGTAACCATCTGCAAGCCACAGCGGCACGGGTTGGCAGGTTGCCGAATCGCCGAATACGTCTCAGCAGTCAGCATCGGAGCCTTCTTCACGTCCCAACACTGAGCATAAAAGACCCCTGTGTTCATCTGTGCCCATTCCGTTCGCTCAACAACACGCGCAGTCCAGTGCGCTTCCGGAGAGGAGAGGCCAGGAAGATGTCACAGTCGATCGACGAGGAGAGGCAGAGATACTCATATCGCCTGGAAGTTCTTCATAGGCCTACAGGCGATGATGTCGCATTGGAGTATGTTGTGTTGTTTCTTACTAGTACTCTGGGGATTTCTACGATGCAAGAGTTCTAACCTTCCCCAAGCGTCGTTGCGATATTGGATATGATGGGCGAACCGAATCGCTCTTGGCACCACGTAACTGAGAGCCATGGCCAGTGCATTTGGTTGCGTGATGCCTTGCCGAAGCATGTTCCAGGGGCGCGGGTTATGCTCTTCTCATACGACAGTGGTCTGGACGGTAACTGGAACATGCTCTCACCGAACTGGCTGACCTGCATCGCCATGAATTTGTTGAAGTCTATTGAAAACTGGAGAGAACAGGTGCGTTTTGACCAAGAGACTGACGAGAATGTCGTTTTGCACCACACCCTCTGCCTATTTGCACCTCAATTCGATGCAGCCAAGGCCTTTCGCAATGTTGCCGAGGTCTTTGGCACGCGAACCTTTACAAGACCGTAAGGTCTGTTGGAACATGACTAGTGTGTTTTGCAATGCATCAAAGGCCTTTGGCGGTGCGGTCAAAGTACTTGGCGATGCCGTCGAGACCTTCTTCGATGCTTTCACGGCTTCTTCTATACGGTGCAAATAGGCATTCCCCCGACCAAATAGCTCCGTGTCAAAATCCACGTACCAAGCTCACCTGCTAAACCAGAACAACCCGGACTTTTCGCGGCCAGTTGCATTCATCGCTCGTGGATTGGGAGGAGTCATCGTCAAGAAGGTCAGTTCCTGTCTACAGTCCCCTGGTATGCTTCTAAGACTGTTCCCAGGCCTTTCTTTTGAGTCCAGAATTGTCCCGCATTATCGTCGGCTCAGTCAACCCGCTTGTGAGTGATGCAAAGTGAAAGAGGTGAACTCTGGTTATTGAAATATCATTGAGACCCAGTTCGTCTAGATATTTTTCGAGACGCCACATCGCCCAGATGATATGTCGTCGTGGGAGGACATGATCCTGAACATCCTTCTTGCGGACCATTCACCCACGTCACCATGTAGAAATATCTCAAGTCGTGCGGGAAACCTGATCAAGGATGTCGAAGAGGTCACCGCTCTCTTCTCAAGACCAAGCACAACACGGCACAACTCCACGAATATGTTCCGCAAGGACGAGGAAATGAAAGTTGTGGAAGAAAGTTTTGTGAGATCCCTACCGAGGTGTTGACGCTGCGTTCAACGCTTGATGATTTGCTGACCACGTTGATGTCACGAAAGGCATTGAGTAGATATTCAGCGAGCCTCGGGCTCGTGGGTGAGGTCGTTGTGGAAAGCAAAAGCAAAGATTTGTACGAAAACATCAAGGCCCTGGACGAAAACAGCCGCGAGTTCCGATGCGTTTTGAAATCTCTCCAGGCCGGCCACGGTTAGTCCTACCTCATGAATACTTCAACCCGGCCAGCTCTGCCTCTCACCCGAAAAGCTCTCGTCTGTTGATTCTACATTTCCCATTGCATAATCGACTAGCTCTTTTTCGCTCTGATGAAAGAAGGGTGTTGATGATCCAGCTGACCAAGCACAGAGTGGAGTTACGAGTCTTATTCTGAGCTACTTTCAACCCTGTGGTCAATCTCACCGCCTTTTCCTGTGCTCGACAGTATGGATCATGATGCTCCCGACGATTCCAGTCTAACCGTTACATCTTTGCTGAAGCACGGTTCGTCGCGTGTGTCGTACTTCGACATTCCCCTTGACGGCGGCGAGTTCAACACACCAGCAGCTTTGTTCCGGAAGCTGCTGAATGAATCTCAGAGTGCTGAGTGTGGGCACTGCGTCGCGTACTACAGCTTCAGTGGGACTGACGCACGACGTACATCATGTAAGGCCCTGCTGGCCTCTTTCATCTACCAGATACTCCGTCAGAATTCTGGGAGGTTCGGTAATATCCGCAGGCTCTTCGAGTCGGTGCGCGAAAAGAGGGCCTGGACTCAAAGTGCTCTTCAAGTGCTGCTCCAGTCTGCGGTAAGAACCTGTGGGAACAGGAAAACCACTGTTGTCTTCATTGTCAACGAAATACAGCACTGCGATTCATCGTTTGAGGCTTTTCTGGACATCCTTCAGTCCACATTCACCGACGAAACGATGCTCACGACATTCAGCGTCCTACTGTTTGCTCAGGGGCGAGAGGACATCCGAACCCTGGTAAATGCCCGTTTTGGCAGTACCATGCAATATGGCCCAGCTCTCATGCGGCAGCCATTGGCGGTTCTCGCACGCAGGGTGAAGGCTGCACTGCTGAAGGATAACCGCGACCTGGCAAAGGTTGATCAGCATATAGAGCTTGCTCTGGGCAAATGCGAGAACACAGCGCAATTGTTCATGACGGCAGACTCCATATCCTCCATTGATGGATCTGAAACCCCAGACTTAGCGTCGCTCGAGTCCCGGGTAGCGAGCTTGCCTTTCTCCCTCGAAGTTGCGGTCATGAAGAAACTCCAAGCCATGCCTAGATGGGCTCGAGACGCCCTTGGTTGGATTATTTACGCCAGACGGCCGCTGAGCCCCGAAGAACTTTCTGTCGCCATCGCAATCTCGGAACTTGGGAAGGACGATGTTGAGGAACCGAGAGATGTTGAGTACAACCGCCTCCTCGTCAACCCGACTTCGGTTATAAGAAGGACATTGGGCTTCTTGATTGTGTTTGAAAACAACGAGATTCTCTTCAGACATGAGGCAATCAAGCAAGCTGTAAAGCAAATTTTCCACCGGACTGTCCATCCGCAAGATAGCCATGGGATCAATATTCAGGTAGACCGACACCCCGAGACCGCAGACGAGACGAAAGACGAATTAGGAATGGTCGAAGAACTACAAAAAGGACCAACCGACAAGAGTATCGCGCTTGCCCTTCTCGGATACCTCTCTAGTCTTAAAACAGTCACCAAAACAAACGACTTGTTGAGATATGTTCCTCCGTATCGGTTGGCAGAAAGCTCTTCGGAAACGGTGATCGCCCTGGTGCGGTACGCGGCTACCGCCTGGCCACTGCATTACTACAATGCACAGGAAAAGAGCTGCTCAGCTATCCAGGTCCTTAAGTACCTTCAAAACGACTCCTTCATCAGCCAATGGAGAAAATTAGTTCAAACCCTGTGCTCCACGGAGTTGCCCCTGGAGGACGCTTTCACAACCGACCCCTGGCATCTGGCCTTGTTGCTGGGATGTGCCGACCAAAACAAGCCTTTGCTTAACCCTTTGCTTAGCCAAGAGACAAAGCCCAGTCCGGGACTATGCACTGAGGTTGCGTTGGCCAGCTGGGGGGGGCACAAATCTGCTGTGGAAAACATTCTCAAAGCTCGAACGAATGAAAATACGAGCGACCTGACACAGGCTCTGGTCTATGCCTCCTTGAGAGGTTACAACGAGACCTTGGAAGCCCTGTTGCAGTACATGAGGCTATCTGAACCAGGTTACTCCTGCAGCGGCCAGCTCTTATGCCAGGCTGCAGAGCTCGGATACACGTCCCAGCTAAAATACTTTCTTGGCAGTCAGGCATCTCTTGATGTCAACGCACCTTTCAATGGAGAAACGCCTTTACAACTTGCAGCGAAGAACGGCCACGTACAGATCGCTGCTCTGCTTCTGGGCAGAGGCGCCGACCCTGATTCAAGGATTTCCGAGGAAGGGACAAAACCAATTCTACACGCTTACATGAACGGAGACACTGCTCTTGTCAAGCTCCTCCTTCTTAGGGATAAACCCGCTGATATCCGCGTTTCTACTGTTGATGGGCGAACGCCCCTTCATTTTGCTGCTGAGAGCGGCAACATTGAACTAGTGCAGATGCTTATCGAGCGGCTGGAGATTCGCGAGCCGGAAAACGCGCGTATGAGAATACCGGACTTGAATGCACTCGAGGGTAAAGAGATGACTCCTCTCATGATAGCAAGCAGGCATGGACACCTAAACATTGTGGAGCTTCTCCTCGCCAAAGGGGCTGCCGTCGACTTGACAGACAACGAAAACCACACGGCTCTTTACCACGCAACCTACAACCGCCACCAGTTGGTTGCGGAGGCGATCCTTGGGCATGCGTCCCCCGGTGCCACTTTTCAAGACATCCCGGCGGCCGTGTTTGCAGCGTCAAAGGGAGGCTTCACGGCGGTCGTTGAGAAATGTCTCGAGATCGGGCGAGAACTTCGAGAAGAGGTACCGGTCACGCATATTGATAGCATTCGCCGGACAGCTCTCCATTACGCGGCGGAGAACGGGAATGCTGACCTCGTGGCTCTACTCCTGTCCGCGGATTATCCAGTTAATGCACGAGACGAAAATGGCGATACCCCCCTGACGCTAGCCGCACTTGCTGCTAGGGAGGAGACAACGCTACTGTTACTCCAACATGGAGCTGACGCGGTCGGCGAAGACCCCGGAGATAGCATCTTATTCCAATTGTCTAGGAAGAAGGAGAAGGCGGGTTACGCTACCATCGTGAATATCCTGCTGAGACAGGAGCCGCGGTTGGATGTTGCTACTCGTGATGCACATGGATGGACGTGCCTGCATCTCGCTGCGCGGAATGGCAGCTCTACGGTTGTCAAGGCCCTTTTGGAAGCTGGGGCTGACCCAAACGACAAGGGGCGCTGGCTGTGGAACGCATTGCACAACGCTGCGGATTCTGGCAGCGTGGAGACTGTGTGCCTTGCGATTGCGGAAAGGGTTGATCCCCGGGAACCTGACGACGAGGGCTTTACCGCTATGCACATTGCGACATGGAACAATTATGTTGACGTGATGGAGAAGTTGGCCGAGGCGGCTCCCGAGATCGTGGAAGCTGCGGCAGACGACGGGAGAAGGCCGTTACATTATGCACATAACCAAACCCACGCTGCCAAGTGGCTCCTTCAACATGGAGTCCTGGTCGATGCCCAGGATCAATCAATGCGTACGGCGCTGATGATGCTGGCGAGAAGCTACGGGCCGAAACGCGAGGATGCCGTCCTATTTCTCGCTCACGGAGCGGATCCCGGGATCCGTGATTCCGAGGGCAAGACGGCGTTACACTATGCTGCTCAAGAGGGAAATGAAGAAGTGCTGAGGGCCATCCTCGAGAAAGACCCAACTGTGGCCTCCCTTCGGGATGATGCTCTGAAATCTTCTGCTTTGGATCTTGCGATTCGCGCCGGTCAGTCTGCGTGCGTCACAGCTCTAATTTCATACGTCGGCAAGGCGGACTTGGATTCCGGCGACAAGAACGGAGATACGGCGCTCATCTTGGCAGTCGAGAAACAAGAGAAGAACATTGTCGAAAAGCTGCTGAAACTTGGCGCCGACGTAGAGCACCGTAACAACGACAGACAAACCGCCTTGATTGTCTCCGTCAAGGAAAAGGATTCGGATCCGGACTTGAGAGGGTTGTTGCTGCACTATGCCGATATCAACAATGGCGCGGCACCCGGAAGAGAAACATACCCCACCGCCCTCTACGTAGCCGTCAAGGAGGGCAAGGAGAGCGTGGTGGAGGAGCTCATTGATAAAGGCAAAGCTGACATCAATGCGGAAGGCGGTCTGTACAACACACCGCTCGGGGCGGCAATTAACGCGGGCGATGACGAGCTCGCAGTGGTGCTGCTTGCGAGGGGTGCTGACCCAAGCAAGAGCGCCGGTCTTTTCTCCAACGCGCTGAGCGCATCCGTGCATGCAAGGTTGTCGAATCTGGTCTACCGGCTGACTACGCCCACGGAGACCGAGGACGGGGATGTCGTGGCTCGGTCGAAGACGCAAATCATGGCAGACATTAACATTGCTGATGCACAGGGTAGAACGGCTATGCATATCGCGGCGTGGGCGGGGTCCATGGACACCTTTCAGCGCTTAAGGGACCTCGACGGGGACCTAGGCGTCGAGGACAAGCAGGGGCGGACCGTATTCCACTATGCAGCGACGGCCCGGGACCCAGAGGTGTTCGATTGGCTGGTGGACCACGAGGACGAGTCGGTAAAGCTTCTCAACAGAGCGGATGACCATGGCTGGATGCCGCTGCATTGGGCGTGTCGACATGACCAGAGCAAATATCAAGTCGAGAGACTTCTGGAAACTTCAGATGTGAGCGTTACCACCACGGATGGGTGGACTCCGGAGAATATTGCCACTTTTCATGATGCCGAGGAGATTCTTGACTTGATAAACGATACTGCTGCCAACTCAGGCTTTGATGGACAAGACAAAACGGTCGGGAACGGCGAGGATGAGGAAAAGCCTAGCGTGGGGAATTGGAGTGTTGGGTCGACGCACCCGGATCGTTTTTGCGATGGTTGTTTTCTTTCAGTAAGTCGGGCGTATACCCGGGCTCCCTTGAGGTTGAGATGCTGACTGTTGGTTTAAGCCCATACATGGGATCCGTTGGATTTGTCTGGATTGCGTCGATGTTGATTTCTGCTTCAAGTGCTTTTGGAGCAAGGAAAAGATCCATCCCAATCATCGGTTCCAAAGGAAGGGGTATGGAACGGAGAAGGAACCGGAGAAGGAGGACGGTTCTGATGCAGGTTGATAAATTTGTGTGGTTGGGTCATGTTTGGCGTTGGATGTTGGGCGATGTTGTTTACGACCCCTAAAGGGGTCCTTGAAAATGTTTCCTTTCAGTGTTTCGATCCACTCTTTTGATCTTCCATCAAATTTTAGGGCACAGACCGTTCATCTTGCGCCCAAACGTTGGCAGTCTGCTCAGAAGGCTCCAGAACTGGTAGCAATGAAGACAAGAAACCGCCCCATCTGAACAGCAACGAAGGCCGGAAGCTGTCGTCGTTGTAGGGAAGGCGAAACACGAATCCGTTGGCGGACACAGCAGCGGCACAGAACTGACTTAGAAACCGCCACCGGTGACGGCGCCACGTCGCCATCTGCGGCTCGACAATTGGGCTAACATGTGGGTCCAGACATCATGCTCGGGGGAGAACGAGCTGGATTTGCAGTGGGCTGGGCGCGTCCAACTTGAACCTTAAAGCTTAAACACTTCAGCCCACCAAGTGCGACCACATCTTCCCGTTGCTTTCAATCCGAAACGTGGTTGTTGGTGGTTGTTGGTGGTTGTTGGTGGTTGTTGGTGGTTGTTGGTGGTTGTTGGTGCTAATAGCCTCAATAGGTAGGCATGTACAGTCCCGGTTGCCACGCGTGAGGACTGGCTCGTTTGTCTTGCTTGTGGCCGCATATGCTAGGTATAACCACCTCCGCTTCAGGGGAATCCTATCTCTCGCGGGGTTTCAGCGAAGGAGCGACTACTTAGCGCACGCGGCCTCAAAGTTCCTTGCAACATGGGCTCGGCTTATGTTCCGCGGAGGAAAACTACGGGGCTGACGCCCGCCGACGAGGCTGCCTCGTCCAAGGCTGCTCTCGACAACCTGGAGCGACAAGGCTTCCATGAGTGGCCAAACGAGGCCGGCGTAAGCACTTCTCTCCGCTTTCAAGTTCCCCGCCCCGACCGCGTGGCTGAACCGTCGTCCAGTTTTGACGGCCTGACCGAGCAGCGCGGCCCCATCGAGCTCAAGGCCGAGGGCAACATCCTAGCATGGGTAGCCGGCTCCCTCTACCGGACCGGCCCCGATTAGTGCAAGGTTGAAGACACCAAGTCCGGCACCTTCCACATCTCGCATTAGTTCGACAAGCTCGCCCACACCCATAAGTTTGACATCGTCGTCGAGGGGCCGATAGTGCATGTCTATTACTCGTCTCGCCGCCAGTCCGACGAAGTTGCCGCTGACATCAAGGCCGCGGGCACCTTGCGGTCCATATCGTTTGCCCAGAGGCTAGATCCTTGCGTCGGTCTTTTTGGCAAGTTTATGAGCGTCTTCGAGAAGCGTTCGGATATCCATAACGTCGGCGTCACGATCGGCGTCAACCTGCCTTCGTTCAAATCTCCGCCAACCAAGCCAGACGTTGGCGTTGACGGCCACCGTGCCGCCAATCTCGTCATTGCAACAGACGCCGCCGTCCTGTGCGAGATGGACCCTAGCACCATGGAGCCCATCAGCTTCCCAAACCACTCCAGGTTTCACCCGGACCTCAAAGGGTCCCTTGGGAGTGCCCACGCGATGGCCGACCCGGACACGGGCGATTATATCAATTACAACCTCGACTTCGGCAAGCAGCCTGTGTACCGCGTCCTCAGCGTTAGTGCCTCTACCGGTAGGACCGATATCCTTGCGACCATACCGTACAAGGCCATATACGTCCACAGCTTCTTTATGGCGTAGAATTACATCGTCCTCTGCTTGCCCGTAGCCGATTACAAGTGGAATGGCCTGAAGATGCTATAGGAGGGCAACCTGAGGGACTCGTTCAAGCCCTTCGACGTGTCTAACAAGTGCTAGTGGTTCGTGATCGACCGGCACCATGGCAAGGGCGTCGTGACCGAGCTCGCCTCGCCGGCCTGCTTCTTCTTCCACACTGTCAACGCCTTCGAGGATGACGACAGTGATGTCTTTTGCGAGCTTGTCCAGTTCCCGAACCGATACATCCTCGATGGGTTATACTACGACGTCATCCTCGACCGCAACGGCAAGGCCAGCGAGTTCTGGACCGACAGCCAGCTAGTCCAGAAATGTTTTCCGCGGCTCGTGAGGTGCCGCCTGCGTAAGAGGGACTTTGCCACCAGCGCCGCCTCCGCCGCGGGGCCTCCCGCCCCCGAGCTAGTCATAAGGATCTCATCGCCGCATGCAGGCGACCTGCCCGTCATCAATCCCAAGTACCGGTGCAAAAAGCACCGCTACACGTACATGGTCGTCTCGCGCATCTTGAGCACCATGCTCGATGCCATCGTCAAGATCGACATCGGAACGCGCGAGCTGCTGCAGTGGGAGGGCCCCAAAGGCCACACCCCCGGGGAAGCCATCTTCGTCCCCCGCCCTGCTGCTAACGGGGAGGCGTTGGAGGAGGACGACGGTGTGCTGCTAAGCGTCGTCCTCGATGGCGCCAACAGGACCAGCTACCTACTATGCTTGGATGCCAAGACCATGACGGACCTGGGACGCGCCGAGTGCGAGTTTGGCGTCGCGATTGGACTGCATGGCTGCCATGTACCGGCTGCTGGCATGAGCTGACAAGGAGGGAGACGAAACGGTGTTCCTTGCTGTTTTAGGGAGCTGGTTACGGATTCCGAATGTCATAGTGAAGAAATGAACTCAGGCGCCTGCACACCGGGTACATGTAAGTGCTAAAACCATGGCTCAGAGGCAAAATCTGGGTATTTTTATGTCAAGAGTTGGCCTTATATGCTCCTTTCTCAAGCCTCTTACAGCTCCTCCGTAACTGTAGCCGCTTGGTATCTTTCATTACCGCTCTATTATTCTACCCTAGGGGGTGGTAGAAGTGTGAATGATGATGTTGAATTTACTTATCAGCCCGTTAGCCTTCCATCTCTGGAAGGAACTAATAACGTGAACTCACTACAGCGGAGGGCATGTGTTCATGTAGGTGTTAGGTGTATGCGTCGGTCTTAACATCCACGGTAGCAGTTCACGAACTAAACTGTCCAAAGTCAAACGGAACTAGGCTGCGTACCGTAGGTAAGGGTGTGCCAAGCTACGTGGCCCGAAGGTCTTGAATCCAATTTTGTCTTGTACTGCCCATAGAGCAAAAGTCCGGTCCACCCCATAGTCTGTTCGATGGCGTCTCACAACTCGTTTTACGGCGCCTACTCAGGAGGAGTCCATCGCGCCCACCTCCTATAGCTACTAGTAGGTTAGTAGCCAAGTACACGCAGATGTCTACCCCATGGGGCTAGTCGTGGAAGCGCATAGCTTTTCTGGCACCCCAAGGCCCAAATAAGCTCCAATCGAGCAGCCCCTAGGGCCACACGACGCCATAGGTAGCGCAGGTATTAGTCTTCCACGAGATCATAGCAACCCTAGAGGAGATAGGGTGATCAGTCATATATTCGTGAGACTTCAAAACACGCCAGAACATTGGCTTGGGAACATGGGCTCAACTGCCAGGGAAAGCGGGGACATAAGGAGAGAAGAAAGACACGTTGCACATGCACGTCTGGGAACCTGCAAGCTCCAACAATGCAATTGGCAATGGCCGTGTTGTACTCATCACCGGTATGG